CTGGGCGCCAGTGGCTCACGCCTGTAATCCTAGCTACTAAGGAGGCCAAGATCTGAGGATCGTGGTTCAAAGCCAACCCAAGCCGGAAAGTCTGTGAGACTCATTTTTATCTCCCATTAACTAGTGAAAAACCCAGAAGTGGAACTATGGCTCAAAGGAAAGACCACCAACCTAGAGCAAACAAAGCTTAAGGGATAGTGCCCAGGCCTTGAGTTCAAGCCCTAGAACTGGAACAAAAAGAAAAAGAAGAAAAAGAAAAGAATGTAGAGGTAAAGGAGACACACCAAACACCCTTCACTTCACACCCCCAGCCTACATTGGACACAATACACTCCTGGCAATGTTTTGTTTGCCAGTCCTGGGGCTTGAACTCAGGGCCTGGGCACTCTCCCAGAGCCTCTTTCGCTCAAGGCTAGCACTCTAGTTGGAGCCACAGCGCCAACTTCCGGCTTTTTCTGTGTATGTGGTGCTGAGGAATCGAACCCAGGACTTCATGCATGCTAGGTGAGCACTTTACCACTGAGCCACCTTCCCTGCCCACTCCTAGCAGCCTTGAGAACTTAATATGCCAAACTCTGGGGGCCTCAGAGCTCTACCCCACAGAGGGAAGAAATTCTTCCCCACCCTGAGAACACAGACATTCTCCTCCCACAGATGGGTGTGCGGTGAATTCTGCCTCCGAGGATCAGCACGTGGAACTCTGAACACTAGTAACATTTCCACCATTCCTTGTTCCTCCTGGCTGGTGTGTGACTCGTAGGGACACACCCCTCCAAGCCCCCAGCCACCAAGCACATTATCAGGGCAATGGAAAACACAAAACAGGCCCAAGCCCATAATCCCAGCTATTTAGGAGATTGTGATCCGAGGATCAAAGTTCAAAGCCAGCTCTGAATTCCAGAAGAGACTGATCTCCAATTGAATACTAAAAGAAAAGCCGGAAGTGGAACTGTGGCTCAAGGGGTACTGTGCTAGCCTAGAGCAAAAACATCTCAGGGACAGCACCTAGGCCCTGAGTTCAAGCCCCAGGACTGGCACAAAAAAAAAAAAGTAAATTAGAATTAAAAAAGAAAAATCACGCTAGGGACGAGTGGCTCACACCTGTAATCCCAGCTATTCAGGAGGCTGAACTCTGAGGATCACTATAGCCAAAGCTAGTGGGGCCATTGGAAGGTTCATTAGACTCTTCAATTAAAAACCAGAAAACAAACAAAAAACAAGAGTGGCGTTGTGGCTCAAAGTGGTAGAGTGCTAGCTTTGAGCTCAAAAGCTCAGGGACAATGTCCAGGCCCTGAGTTCAAGCCACACCACCAGCCACAAAAACAAAAAAATAAAAAAATACATCACAAACCAGGCAGGAGCTAGTGGCTCACACCTGATCCTAGCTACTCAGGAGGCTGAGATCTGAGGATCACAGTTTGAAGCCAGCTGGGGGAAAAAGCCCATGAGACTCATCTCCAATTAACAACCAGGAAACAGGAAGTAGTTCAGTGGCTCCAAGTGGTAGAGTGCTAGCCTTGAGCAAAAAAGCTCAGGGACAGAGCCCTGACCACTGACCAAAAAAAATTAAAAGTCACAAAACATTAAAGCTTTCCTGGAACAGCAATGGTAATAAAGGAAATCGGGAATGGGGCATTAGAGAATGCTACACTGTGTTCCAAAGTCCATAAACTGAAAATGATCTATGTTTCTTTTCTTTCTTTTCTTTTTCTTTTTTTTTTTTTAAACAATGTTTAAACAGGAAGCCAGACCCTGGTGGCTCACACCTGTCAGCCTAGCTACTCAGGAGGCTGAGATCTGATCATCTGGGTTTGAAGCTGGCCTGGACAAGAAAATTCACCAGACTCTAGTCTCCAATTAACTACCAAAAACAAAAAACCAGAAGTGAAGATGTGGCTCAAGTGGTAGAGCGCCAGCCTTGAGCACAAAAGTTCAGGGACAGCACCCAGGCCCTGAGTTCACGCCCCAGGACCAGCACAAAGAGAAAAGAAGAGAAAGAAAAGAAAGAGAAAGAAAGTTTAAACAGGCAGATCAACTCTCCCAGAACTTTGTTTTCTGGACAGGGTCTCTATGGAGCCCAAGCTGGCCTTTTTACCTCCATAATCCTCCTGCCTCAGAGTGCTGGGACTACAGAGGTGCGCTACCAGGCCTGCTTCCCAGAGTCTCCCCCCCCCCAAACTCTAGAAGCCCCAGCTGGAGAAACTAAACCTTCATCGGATGCCCCTGAAGGCTGGCCAGAGGATTGGGCTCCCTAGAAACAATCTGGGGTCCTGCTGAGCGTAGTTAGGTGTGGGTCCCGAGCCAGGAGGAGCTGCTCCGCACACGCACGGCCGGACCCACTCCCCACTCCCCGGCGAGCGTCTTCAGACTCAGGAGGAAGGGAGCCCGGAGCCCCGTGTGACCTGAGCACACCTCACTTCCCTTCGGAACTCCCGGTTCCCCCCAAAAAGTAACCCCACCCCCAAATTCCCCCCCCGGGGTGGGGTGGGGGGACCAAAGCCAGTTCAAAGGCCTCCCCAGAGCAATCCCGGGAGACAAAAGCCGAATGAAACAGAATAGCAAAATGGGAAGGACGAACCACAGGAGAGAGTCACCGGAGGAAAGGGAAAAAGAAGGGGGGGGGGGAATTGGACCGAACACCCCACAAAGATGGTGGGGAGGGGAGGCTGGAGCCAGGCCCACGTGCGATCGCCCCCAAATGTCACTTCAGAAAGCAGCTTGCGAGAATGTCACCGTCTTTTTCACATTTCCCACCCCACACCCCGAGAGAGGGCCGGAGGCGGCGGCGCGTGGCGAGGCCGCCTTCCCCTCCACGTTTCCACGCCGGGGGGCCCTCGGGAGGCCCGGCCGGGGCAGCCCCCCCCCCGGCTTCGGGGGTTCTTGGCCGGGGCGGGGGGGGGGGGGGGGTTCCGGCGGGCCCGGCTTTCTTGGCGGGGCCCCCCCCCCACACACACACTGGAAGCCACTTTCCAACAGTCCTTACAGAAAGTCCGCGGAGGGGCGCGGGAGGAGGGGGTCCCCCCTTCCGAGATGGCCCGCCGCCCCGCACACACCACACCCTCCTCCCCGCCACCACGGCCACACCCGATCCCCAGCCCCCAACCGATCCCTCGGAATTCCCCTTCCCCTCGCGACCCCCCCCACGTCCAGCCCGGCGCCCCCCCTCGGAAATCTCACACATTTTTTTTTCCCGCTTCCCTTCCCGTCCTCCTCCCCGCCGTCCTCCTGCTCCGGGGCGCCCCGATCCTCCTCTGCTCGTTGGGTCC